TATTTATATAAGGCTACAGACAAAACTAACTCATTTTTAAAATTAATGCATGAGTCGTTAAGGGTTGATTTTATCCCTTTTGAAGGACGTTACCACCCCACAATTTATCACAGTCCTGGACTTTAATCCCTCTATCCCGCGATCCTGCTTCTCCCAACCTTTTGTGCACTCAGGGACACCCTTTTACGTATCTTGGACGATAACACCCTACACCACCACGTACTGGAGATGGTCCACTTACTCTTCTACAGTTCCTTTTTCCAATTTAATGGTACAATCTACATGTAAGGAAAAGGTGTCCCCATGGGCAGCCCAATTTCAGGGGACTTATGTGAAATGATTATAAGACAACTGGAGACAAAGTCCTTCCACAGTTCCTCTCCAACATCCTTTTATACAGGAAATACATTGACGATATTTTAGTTTTCTGGAGGACAGTTCCAGATATTTTGGCCTTTGCTGACACTTTTAATAATAACCTGTTCGGCTTAACCTTAGAGCTCGAACAAGCCAATCACAAGGAGGTCCACTTCCTTGACATAAAGATCAGAGTCAAGGAGAAGCGCATCCTCACATCCGTCTACCGCAAACCAAATTCTACATCCACATACATATCTGTGGGGTCATGTGACCTCTTTCCGTATAAATTAGTGGCATTCAATGCTTTAATCAGGAGAGCGTTTTCTCATTCATCTTCTACACAAGCACTTGCCGCTGAGCTAATTCATATACACCATGTTGCATTCACCCACGGTTTCCCCGATGCTCACTCATAAACTGATTGCACGCTATCACTGAACACACTCACAATGCACCATCATGACTGACATGCAGAGTGACAACCATCCTGACGTTATTCAACAAGTCCCTATCACGTTCAATCTGTATGCTAAAACACTTTACACTGAGATTGCCATGAAGCACCAAATTCAGATCACATACAGGTCCACCATATTTGACATCCTCTGCATTGGGAAAGACCCCCCTCAACTGGAACAGACTACCAGGTGTGTACAGTATCCCCATTAGAGACAACAGATTTGATAGGGATCTCATTTACATCGGATTGACCAAATGCTCCTTGGAGGTCAGATTGCAGGAGCACACAGCAGATATTCAACACAAGAGAAACTCCACTGCCCTCTCCACTTACGCCTTTGATCCCGACATCTCGGCGGCCTTTAATCAGGCAACACTAGTCTACACTACGTCACACATTGAACACCTAAAATGGCTAGAAGCCATTTACATTTTATAAATCGACCCTTAATGACTCATGCATCAATTTTAAAGATCAGTTAGTTTTGTCTGTAGCCTGGCAGGCGTTGATGGACTCTGAACTTTAATTGTTAAGATCTGATTACCCTACGATTATGCATGCGCGCCTNCAGAGTCCATCAACGCCTGCCAGGCTACAGACAAAACTAACTCATTTTTAAAATTGATGCATGAGTCGTTAAGGGTTGATTTTATCCCTTTTGAAGGACGTTACCACCCTACAATTTATCACAGTCTTGGACTTTAATCCCTCTATCCCGTGATCCTGCTTCTCCCAACCTTTTGTGCACTCAGGGACACCCTTTTACGTATCTTGGATGATAACACTCTACACCACCACATACTGGAGATCGTTCACTTACTCTTCTACAGTTCCTTTTTCCAATTTAATGGTACAATCTACATGCCAGGAAGAGGTGTCCCCATGGGCAGCCCAATTTCAGGGGACCTATGTGAAATGATTATAAGACAACTGGAGACAAAGTCCTTCCACAGTTCCTCCCCAACATCCTTTTATACAGGAAATACATTGATGATATTTTAGTTTTCTGGAGGACAGTTCCAGATATTTTGGCCTTTGTTGACACTTTTAATAATAACCCGTTTGGCTTAACCTTAGAGCTCGAACAAGCCAATCACAAGGAGGTCCACTTCCTTGACATAAATATCAGAGTCGAGGAGAAGCGCATCTTCACATCCGTCTACCGCAAATCAAATTCTACATCCACATACATATCTATGGGATCATGTGACCCCTTCCCGTATAAATTAGCGGCATTCAATGCTTTAATCAGGAGAGCGTTTTCTCATTCATCTTCTACACAAGCACTTGCTGCTGAGCTAATTCATATACACCATGTTGCATTCACCCACGGTTTCCTGATGCTCACTCATAAACTGATTGAACGCTATCATTGAACGCACTCAAATGCACCGTCACGACTGACATGCAGAGTGACAACCATCCTGACGTTCAACAAGTCCCTATCACGTTCAATCCGTATGCTAAAACACTTTACACTGAGATCGCCATGAAGCACCAAATTCAGATCACATACAGGTCCACCATATTTGTCATCCTCTGCAATGGGAAAGACCCCCCCCCTCAACTGGAACAGACTACCAGGTGTGTACAGTATCCCCATTAGAGACAACAGATTTGATAGGGATGTCATTTACGTCGGATTGACCAAACGCTCCTTGGGGGTCAGATTGCAGGAGCACATAGCAGATATTCAACATAAGAGATACTCCACTGCCCTCTCCACTTACGCCTCTTATCCCGACATCTCGGCGGCCTTTAATCAGGCAACACTAGTCTACACTACGTCACACATTGAACACCTAAAATGGCTAGAAGCCATTTACATTTATAAATCGACCCTTAATGACTCATGCATCAATTTTAAAGATCAGTTAGTTTTGTCTGTAGCCTGGCAGGCATTGATGGACTCTGAACTTTAATTGTTAAGATATGATTACCCTACGATTATGCATGCGCAACTCATATTACACTTTCGAATATATATATATTTTTTCTCATATACTGTTAACCGATTGCTCCATCCCATCAGAAACTCCCTTTTTCACCCGAGGAAGAACTCACAGCAGTTTGAAAACGTTTGTGGTGAACTTTTTCTTTTGTTTTTTTCGTCACACCAGAAATAAGTTCTAGGAGTAGGATTTTTTAACACATCCTGGTATTAATGTTGTTGTTGATTTATTACAAACTATTACAGTATGACATTTGTACAATTTGTTTATCAGAAACTGTATATTTAATACAATATTACACATTTATATATGCTAATTTCTAATAAATTACTGTTTTTGAAAACAACAAAAAATTTGCTTGAAAAACTTATCAAGTGTTGTCTGTTGTTTATTTGCATTTATTAACTCCTGAATATAATTCTCCTTGTCATAATGCTTTTGAAGNAATGGCTAGAAGCCATTTACATTTTATAAATCGACCCTTAATGACTCATGCATCAATTTTAAAGATCAGTTAGTTTTGTCTGTAGCCTGGCAGGCGTTGATGGACTCTGAACTTTAATTGTTAAGATCTGATTACCCTACGATTATGCATGCGCGACTCATATTACACTTTCAAATATATATATATTTTCTCATATACTGTTAACCGATTGCTCCGTCCCATCAGAAACTCCCTTTTTCACCCGAGGAAGAACTCGCAACAGTTCAAAAACGTTTGTGGTGAACTTTTTCTTTTGTTTTTTTCGTCATACCAGAAATAGGTTCTAGGATTTTTTAACACATCCTGGTATTAATGTTGTTGTTGATTTATTACAAACTATTACAGTATGACATTTGTACAATATGTTTATCAGAAACTGTATACTTAATACAATATTACACATTTATATATGCTAATTTCTAATAAATTACTGTTTTTGAAAACAACAAAAAATTTGCTTGAAAAACTTATCAAGTGTTGTCTGTTGTTTATTTGCATTTATTAACTCCTGAATATAATTCTCCTTGTCATAATGCTTTTGAAGCTTGTTTGAATCTATATTGCATAGCACGATGAAGAATTCATAGAGCTTCTTGCATCTGGGTATTAATTGGAGGAACTTATTCTAAACAAAATAAAATATAATAAACTTGCTAACCTCCCATTTACTCCTAATTCTAATGTTCCTAGATCTAGATTGGGACTTCCATTTCTTACTGATCACATCAAATATTTCAACTGCTTACTTTTTACAAATATTTTAATGGTTGTATTCACTCTGATTGGCTTTCCTTACAGGTTTTCCAATGTTTTACCTGTAATCAAACTTGCATTTTAATCCCTTCTTTTAGGCTAGCTCTTTCTATTAGATCATATTTTTATCATTCTTCTCAAAGCATTTGTAATGTTGAACAATTTTTACATTTTGATTTATTACATTTTAAATAAATATGTAAACACCTATTCTATAACATGTAAGTTTTTCTTGATCTGTAATCTGCTTGTTTATTTTATGTGTAATTTTGTTTTATTATTGTTTTTAAGAGTTGTTTTTTTCTTTTTATTGTATAGGTGGAGAAAATTAATTGTCCCAGTGATATTTCCTATTGTATTTGTAAAAAATCGAAAAAATATTCTGAAATTTCTTCTTCTTTAAATAGGCTAGGTACATTTTCTTCTGATAATTTGGAGATATATCAGCAACATCTTGACATATTTTCAATAGTCATTTTAGCCGTCTCTTCAATATTGCTATCCATATTCACCTAATACTGAAATTTGTCTTTAAACATACTGCCTGGAATTCTTTTGCAAATTTAACCTGTAAGATCAGATTATTTGGAAGTGAGAGTTTCAGCATTTATTTTAGAAAAGCCACCTTTTGGAAGCAGTTTTCTCTGAACTTGTTTCCAAGACATTGTTAGCAAATACAATGCATCAAGAAGGGAAATATTTTTTGCAGTTGCATTTGCATCAGGTTGATCTTGAATTTCATCAAGTTTAACTATAATTTGTGCACAGATTTGCTTGTGGTAATAAGCTTTTAAAGTTTGTATGATACCTTGGTCACATGGCTGAGTTAACAATGTAGTGTTTGAAGGTAAGATCATCATTTTGATATTTTTAAGTTTTTGCTTTGTTTTTGCTTTGCATAAGCAAAAAGCTTAAGTTTTTGCTTTGCTTCTGCAAAGCAAAAACTTAAAAAACTTTTTATAGAGCACTTATATAGTCTTATTAACTCAATAGATCACAAAATTCAACTACAGAAGCCTCAACAGAAATGTTAATCCTCAAGTGTGTTCTTTAGGAAAAGATCTACAGTACATGTATTTTCTAGAATTCTTGTCATACCCTTACAGTATGTAAAAGATAAAAGGTATGTTTTGGTTAAAAGTAAATTTTGAGGATAAGGCCCATTTATTATAAATTTTTTAAGAATTCTTATTGTTTGTCCCAAAGTGTAATTATCACAATTGATAACAATAGCTGAAATTTGATTATTATAATAAAAAGATTATTTTTAACTGATTTTACATCATAGTGTTTTGGAAAACTGATTATAATAACAATAGTGATCAATAACATTATCTATGATTATAATAACTGGATTTCACTGTATTGTTTTCTCTTGAATAGAAAAAGTTGTTTCTGCTACGCCTTATGAGTGTTTTATTGCCATCCCCCATTGCTAGAAAACAAATGAAATCTGTAGACTTCATTTGTTTTCTAGCAATGGAGAAAGGAAATACATTTCCTGAATTAGAACAAGCATTTATTTAGTGTGATCATTACAATTCCGGGATGCAATTTTTNTTTATTATAAATTTTTTAAGAATTCTTATTGTTTGTCCCAAAGTGTAATTATCACAATTGATAACAATAGCTGAAATTTGATTATTATAATAAAAAGATTATTTTTAACTGATTTTACATCATAGTGTTTTGGAAAACTGATTATAATAAAAATAGTGATCAATAACATTATCTATGATTATAATAACTGGATTTCACTGTATTGTTTTCTCTTGAATAGAAAAAGTTGTTTCTGCTACGCCTTATGAGTGTTTTATTGCCATCCCCCATTGCTAGAAAACAAATGAAGTCTGTAGACTTCATTTGTTTTCTAGCAATGGAGAAAGGAAATGCATTTCCTGAATTAGAACAAGCATTTATTTAGTGTGATATCATCACAATTCTGGGATGCAATTTTTAATCATATTTTTAATTTATTTAATTTAAAAATATATGCCCTCCACCTCAAATTAGTAGTGGCTTGCCCCTGTACAGGTACACCATACTTTAACAACATAGTTGTACTGGTCATCTATTAACTACTTTCAGAAGAAAAGTTTTGAATTGAAATAATGTAACTTCTGGTTTGCATCAGAAGTTCATATATAGTTAATTCAGACCGCTTGACCCTAATGTTTTCATATCCAGTCATGGATTTTATCTATCTAACTCCATTCTCAAGATTAAGGAAAGATGGATGGACAACAGTGGGAATTTATAGGTCTATGATTTTTTCAAATTGCAGTTCAAGAAGAAAGATTATCATTTTAAAAGAAGGGTGATCAAACAGAAATTTTCTGAAGGATTGGGCAAAGCACAAATGTTGTAGATAATTTCATTATGTAAGATGCTAATTATGAAAAATAGTCTGAGAGGTCTGATGCCCTCATCCAGAGGAAGAAAGCCCAAATCTTTCATATAGCATCTAATTTTCTTGTCTGCCAGGGACATTGCAGAAGAAAGCTAGTGTTCAAACCAACTCACAAAATTTCCAATGTCTCCTACAATATACCAAATGTCTAGGTAGGAGTGTAATGAAGAAGCAACCTTGTGAGGATGAACTTTGTTTGAACAGTAATGCATTGGTCTAAAGATTGGGATAAATCATTTTTGCTAATGAAAGAAGTTCAGTCTTGGTGAATCAGATGGTTACTTTATATTACTTCCATGATCTAAGGAAAAGTGAAGGGATTATGTCTTCCAGACAATGGGAGATGATTTGGTCATGATATGGGCTGCTGTTTGTTTTCACATATGATCCTATTGTTGTCTTGGATGACAAAGTGAATGCAGTATGTACAGAGATGTGATGAATGAACTTGTGTTGCACTGAATCTGGTAATGTTGCTCATTTCATGAAATAGAAAAAGTAAATATGAAATGTTCACAAGCACTTTTGGTAACTGTACATTACCGAAAGTGCTCATGAACATTTTATATTTATATTGTAATAATTCACCGTGGTAACACCACAACACGTATGTGATTTTACAATAATTAAAAAGTCAGCGTGAAGTGATAACTAATTTTATTATGGAAAATAGAAAAAATTTGCATAATTCAAGATATGCTGATTTCAAGAAATTGGCAATATTTTTGTCAAATTCATGAAAATGGCAATTGTGTCAAGTAATATTAGTGCAGTAAATTTCTGAACCTATGTATTTGTAAAGCTTTCATTTTGGTTTGTTTTCACTTATTATTATTTTGGAGTTTCTAATTTTTCTATTAATACTCACTTTTTAATACATATGCTTAAGCTCTAATGTAGGATTTAATGTAACATACATTTAGTAAACATTATTAGAAAGTATTAAATATCATTAAGTAATATTACAGTAATAAGACAATACTAAAATAAATCTGTGCCTAACATTTTCTAAACCATAACTCGATGAGCTAAGCAAAATTTGGTATCTCATTAGAAAATATAAAATGTCAATTTCATGAAATAGGCAGTTCAAAATTAGCATATCTTGTAAAATAGGCAAAAAAGTTGATCTAATTAATGAAATCAGTAGTCAATATTCTAATTTCACAAATTTTTATGCAAATTTTTGCATATTGTATGAAATGAACAATGTTCTTGGATTTGGCATAACACATGCACTAAGTTTTGAGGCATTGATTGATCAAGAATTTCTTTCATTATCAACAAGACAACACCCCTATACATTCAGTGAGAATTGTGAAACTCAAATATTGACTAATTATTGAAAAAATGCAAAGTTTACAATAGATGGGGCTAGAAAAAATATGTTATTCCAAGTTATGGATCCATTGACAGGAGATAAAATTACAATGATTTGGTGGAACCTGGAGAAAAAAATTTGTTATTCCCATAAATCTTTTGTTCTGCAATCATTAAAATGAGATTCTACTGTATATCAGGATTAGACAAACCAAAAATTTTTGAAGTTGGCAGGGTTATTTCTAAGTTATTATTATAAGAAGCTATTAAATTTAGCCGGTTAAAGGTCAAGAAATAGGGAGATAGAGAGGGGATTATGTGTCATATATTGAGTAGAATCAGACTTAATGAAAATTTTACTTGATGTTGGCATTTATTTGATGTCATTAGACTAAATGGCAAAATGATAAATTATTAACTGTAAAAAAAATTGTACCTAAACATTGAAAAACATTTTATTCATTTATGCCGTATTGTTTTGTCACATTGAAATGAGATATTTTCTAGTAAATGAAATCTTATTCTGTACAATGAAAATAATTTTGAATTTCTCAATCAAATTGTGATCATAGCATTAAATACTGTATTTTTGGGGCTGTCCATAAATTACATTTGTATTTTTCTTGGAATTTTTACTCCCCCTCATTGTCCTAGTTTGTCAAAGCTTTTGTAACCTCTCTCCTCTACAGATGTTTAATAAAACTCTCTCTACATCAAAATCTTTTATCACTTTATTAATAATAAAATGTATAAACTATGTAAAATTTAGTGAAATAAAACAAACATCTATTGAAGATTAACCCCTTCCCCTGACTTGTCATAATCCCCACCTTCCCTTCCAGTGTGGACATTATTTATGGACAGCCCCTATCTTGAAATATGCATAATATGAAATTGACATTTTTATTTTTTTGTTGCTGAGTGTAACTGAGGGAAATTTGATCCATGGATTTTTTTTAACTGTTAACACAGGATCTTTTCTGTTTTCTTATCTTAGTATGAAATCTTAAGGAACATTGAATTCTGATAAATCAGCAAAACATATTTTATTAATATAAAAATGTAAAATTTTAATATTTATTTTTTAATTTTCAATAATTTTTCTGATAATATATAAGAGTAAAGCATTTATTTTTTGAATTATTAATAATACTTATTAATTTGATTTATTATTATTTTGTTACAGTAGCATTTTTATTATAGGTAGTATTAAATAATCATTATAATTACTATACAAATATTGGTATCTAAGGTTATTATTCATTTTGAGATTTGCACTCATTCTGTTATCAAGTTATTAAAGATAGCAGTCTTCTAGTGTTAAGATAATTGAAACAGCATAAAAAGTAACCAATCTAGTTTTTCAGATAATGGTGATTAAATCTGTAATATTAGTAATAAATGATAACATGATAATTAAATAGATTAAATTGCAGCATTAGATTTATAATTGATAACTTTTATTGAATTTTTTAAAAAATATTATTCAATGCTAATATATATTTTATATACAGTTATAGAATGAACAGAAAATAATTTATTTCAAATATGTCATTAATTTAAATTAATTTATAAAATAATATTAAATATTGTTTCAAATAATGCCAAATTTCTTCAATTTTAAGACATCAAGTCTGTTTCAGAATCATGATGCATCTTTAAAGTTTAAATTAAGCACTCATTAACAGAAAAGTTCAGTTGAACTGGTATGACTGTTGAGTATTAAAGCTGAAAATACCTGTTTTTGATGCATAATGAATGTCCTATGTAGTCTATGCATGATGACTGCTGATTGTTGTTTTGGACTACAAATGTAAGAGGTAATCAATTCTAAAACACAGCTCACTTTCAGATGAGTAAAAAATGGGTAAAAAATGTACTTAGAAACAATGAAATATGGTGCATTAAAATTGTTTTTGATAAATTTTTATTGGAAATCGTGACGATATATTATTATAAAATAATAAATATATATATCACACTAACCTTATGAATATATACTAATATACTATCACTGCACATCGGGTTGTATATAATACAATAAATCTGACTTACGGAACCTTTAACCGATGTGTGTCACTTTTTCTTTCAAAAATCAAACGTTTTCCTAACCCCTTCTGGGTTCTTCATCAGGATAACAGCTGGATCGAATATCGATTTCAAAAAGTTTTAATGATTCCGAACTTGACTCGTTCCATTCGCTTAATCCGTCACGTGATGTAATTGAAATTGTTCTATTTTTGACGGTCGATGTTCAAATTTAAGAGAACGATCCAAAACATGTTATTGAGATATAACGATTATTTAATATTCTCGTGTTCCCTAATATCATTTATTTTTACGGCTCAATATAATTTCGTTATCACTCTTTATGGAGTAGTTTTTGCCACGCCCTGGAAAGGCTGATCTCTTCTCTTGAATTAATACACTCGGATTTGTCATACGCCCTAAAAATTTCCATCTCTTCTAGCCATTTTAGTTGGTGAATATGTGGTGTGGAGGCAATTATCCGTGCTGCATTGAAGTCCGCCACTATTTCGGGATCAGTGGCATATGTGGAGAGTGAGGTTGTGTGCCTGTTGTGCTGTATATCCGAAATATGTTCTTTTAATCTAACCTCTAACGAGCGTTTAGTTGATCCCACATATACCAGGTCTCTGTTGAACCTGTTATCCCTTATAGGAATTTTATATACTCCTGATATCCTCTCCATCCTGGGTCCGTCTTTTTCATTACGTAGGATGTCAAACAAGGTGCTGCATCTTCTGTATGCTATGTTAACATTTCTTTGTTTAGCAATGGTGTTGTACAGGGACTTCAATAGCGGGTTGAACTTAATGGGTATCCTCCTATTTTCTATATTATTGCTTGTGTTTTGCGTGTTGATTACAATGTTGGAAGAAGCCTGTGTTTGTTTGTGGCGCTCTGCGATCTTTTGTATAATATTTCGGTACCCGTGTGATCTGGCGATACTTTCCAAGTAATTTAACTCCTCCGTTAGTGCTTGTTGTGTGGAAGAGTGTGTGTAAGCTCGTTTAACCAATGCCCTAAAAGCCGCCATTTTGTACTGGAAGGGATCACATGAGCTTACTGGTATGTATGCCGGTACATTAGTAGGTTTGCGAAAAACCGATGTGCGGATGATGGAATCATCAAATCTTATGTCCAAATCCAGGAAATGTACTCTGGTGTTACTGTGTTGTTCCATCTCTAATGTCAGTCCATACGGGTTGTCATTCATTTCGTCTAAAAAACAGGCTATGTTGGGGGTTGTCCTCCATAGGATGATGATGTCGTCGACATATCTTTTGTATAGTATAATGTCGTGGAGGAATTTAGGCAATGTCCTGTTTTCCAATTGTCTAATAACTAGTTCACATAAATCCCCGGATACCGAACTACCCATGGGAACACCTCTTGTTTGTGTGTACAACTTTCCTTTAAATTGAAACACCGAGTTGTAACAAATTAGATGGGCCAATTCTAGTGCCTGATGTTGTAGCTCATTAGAGCCTAATTTTTCAAAAAGAAAGTCCCTTAGGGCGCAGAAGCATGGAGGAAGTTCAATCGACGGGTATAAGGATCTAAAATCCAGTACTGTAGCATAACACGGAGAGGTGACCATCTTGAGTTGTTCTATTAATTCCAACGTGTTGGAGATGGAAAATTGGTATCCCTGCAGGTGTGGAGTAAGAATGTTGTGTACCTCTTCCTCTATCTTTCGTGTGGGCGCTTTGGCCCTATCCACCACTGGGCGTAACTGTTTCCCTTCTTTATGTGTTTTAGCAAAAGCAAATAATTTTGGGGCATCCGGTGCGTCCATTATAATGTTCTTCAATTTCAATTTGGTAGTTAACTTCGTAGATGCGAAGCGTTTGACTCTTGAGTGTATCTTATCTATCATGTTATATTGAACCTCATTGCATCTTGTTACTTCTAGGTACTCACACAGGCCTTTCTCGTATGTTTCTCTCTTCATAATGACTAATAATCTCGCTTTATCTGCTCTAACCAACGTGATATTATTTTGCCTTATCCATCGAGTCGTGCGTTTAAGATCCTCTCTGAATTGGAGCATCTCTCTAGAGACCTTATTATTTATTATTTTGAACGAGGCTACCCATCTATAGTATTCCTTCTGTATGTCAGATAGGCCTCGTATTAATAATTCTAGGTCTGGAATGCACGATCGTATCGTATCTTTAATGTGAGGGATAGGTGCGTACGCCGGTCCAAACTTTAGGATGTGTTCAACGTAACTCGGCACCTGTATGTCATCCCATATAATAAATGGACATTCGTTGTGTTCGTCGGTGGAAGGTATTTGAAAACGTAGAATCCATTGCATTTTCTTGCAATAATGTCTGTCTCCTTAAGCTATTTCTTAGCCTTTCTTGTATGTTGCTAATTTTTGCATTCTCCAATGCTAAAAGTCTGGGGTCCTGCTGAAATAACGTGTTTTCAATGTCCACTAGTTGTACTAATTTGGAATAAACCGATTTCCTAGTCATCCTTACTGCCCTGTTCATACACATCCATGTAACTTTATTGCGTAACGGTTCGTTTCCTGGTGGTAGGTTAATGCGATAAATGGTCATAGGGAACACACGTATTCTCTTGCATTTCATTAAAAAATCCAGCTTTGCTCTAGCCTTAGTAAGGCTGACGACGATTTTATGATAATAATTAGTCGGCATCACTTAATAATTATATACTAATATACTATCACTGCACATCGGGTTGTATATAATACAATAAATCTGACTTACGGAACCTTTAACCGATGTGTGTCACTTTTTCTTTCAAAAATCAAACGTTTTCCTAACCCCTTCTGGGTTCTTCATCAGGATAACAGCTGGATCGAATATCGATTTCAAAAAGTTTTAATGATTCCGAACTTGACTCGTTCCATTCGCTTAATCCGTCACGTGATGTAATTGAAATTGTTCTATTTTTGACGGTCGATGTTCACACTCTCTTCCACACAACAAGCACTAACGGAGGAGTTAAATTACTTGGAAAGTATCGCCAGATCACACGGGTACCGAAATATTATACAAAAGATCGCAGAGCACCACAAACAAACACAGGCTTCTTCCAACATTGTAATCAACACGCAAAACACAAGCAATAATATAGAAAATAGGAGGATACCCATTAAGTTCAACCCTCTATTGAAGTCCCTGTACAACACCATTGCTAAACAACGAAATGTTAACATAGCACACAGAAGATGCAGCACCTTGTTTGACATCCTACGTAATGAAAAAGACGGATCCAGGATGGAGAGGATATCAGGAGTATATAAAATTCCTATAAGGGATAACAGGTTCAACAGAGATCT